GGATTAAACTGAAACAATCTGGATTAATAATCTGTTTAAATAATCTAGATCATTAATCTAATATCTGGATTATTCTGGATTAAAGAAAAATAATCTGGTTGAACAATCTGGATTAATAATCTGAATTAATAATCTGGGTTTTCGGTAATAATCCGTGTCTTTCAGCACTACAAGGCCAGTCTGACGGCGACCTTTAACCTTCACCCTGTAAGTCTCAGAACCAAGCGGTACTGAAGGATCTGGGGGGTTCTGGTTCTGGATCGGTCTCACAGGTTCTGTTCCTTTTTCATCAGGATGCAAACTTCGCCATCGTTCTGGAAGAAGACCTGGACATCTCTGTGGACTTCTTCAGGTGAGGTCACTCTAAGTCTGTTTAAAGGTGGGCCGGCCGAACAGAACCGTTCTGCTGGACTCTGGTGTCCTCAGGGTTCTCTGGACCCACCAGTCTTTAGTGTTCTGATCCGTTGTTTTTTTTTATGGCAGCTTCCTGAGTCAGACCGTCCACCTGTTGGACCAAGACGACAGCCTCTACTGCATCTCAGCCTGGAACGACCAGGTGGGTTCTGACCCACTGGACCCTTCTGTCTGTGTGGGCTTAAAGTTCTGCACCTGTTCAGGTGGTCTGCTACTTTGTTCAGGTGGTCTGCTACTTTGTTCAGGTGGTCAGGTACTTTGTTCAGGTGGTCTGCTACTTTGTTCAGGTGGTCTGCTACTTTGTTCAGGTGGTCTGGTACTTTGTTCAGGTGGTCTGGTACCAGTTCTCATCAAGCCATTTATATAAAAACAGAATCTTCAGACAAAACACACAACATCAGAATGTGTTTTTGTTTTGTAACAACAGGCTTTAGCTAGCCTTGTGCTACTTTTAGCTAGCTTTTTACTTCTTTTAGCTAGCTTTGTACTTCTTCTAGTTAGCTTTTTACTTCTTTTAGCTAGCTTTGTACTTCTTCTAGTTAGCTTTTTACTTCTTTTAGCTAGCTTTGTACTTCTTCTAACTAGCCTAGTGCTACTGTTAGCTGGCTTTGTACTTATTCTAGCTGGCTTTGTACTTATTCTAGCTAGCTTTGCACTTCTTTTAGCAAGCCTTGTACTTCTTTTAGCTAGCCTTGTGCTTCTATTAGCTAGCCTTGTGCTTCTTTTAGCTAGAGTTTTGTGCTTCTATTAGCAAGCCTTGTGCTTTTTTTTAACTAACTTAAGGATTATTTTAGCTAGCTTTGGGCTTCTTTTAGCTAGCTTTGGGCTTCTTTTAGCTAGCTTTGTGCTTCTATTAGCTAGCCTTGTGCTTCTTTTAGCTATCCTGGTGCTATTTTTAGCTAGCCTTTTGCTTCTTTTAACTAGCTTTGTGCTTCTTTTAGCTAGCTTGGTACTACTTCTAGCTAGCCTGATGGTTTTTCTAGTTAGCCTCTTTTTGGTCTCAGCCTAAATGTAGCTGTGATGTTTACAGGAAGTGTTCCTGTGTAACCCTCTGGTGTGTGTGTGTGTGTGTGTGTGTGTGTGTGTGTGTGTGTGTGTGTGTGTGTGT